AAAAAAAAAAGCTTTTTATATTACTGTATTTTATTTTACGTTGTACAATTCGAACTAATAAAGAAAAGAATGATTACAACCAAGATCACAAAGCTCGAAGTGTAATACTCCAAGAACATGAACTCATGTATTCCAATTTTTTAAAAATTTATTTTTGTTATAAATATTTTGGTTCTTTGGACAAAATAAAAGAGAACAATCTAAACCAATTCAATCCAATCCTACTTCAAGTATAACAAGTTTTTAATACTTAGGATCAAATCTTCTCTTTTTCTTTTATATTTCTTTATCTTCTTTATAATCCAGTACAATAAGTACATTTAAACTTATAGAACTTTTGGATCTTTTCTTTTTATCTTTACATTTTGCTTATATTTTTACTTTGATCTTATAAGAAGAATCTGATGGCCACTAGCGAACTAGATTCTTTATTTTTACTCTTTTTATACAATTTTCCTTCCTAGTCTAAGTTCAACAAGACTTACCTTACACAGAAGCCTTTTTATATCATTATATTTACATACAACCTTCCCCAAGCCCTAAGAAATTACAGCAACTTTCTTACATTCTTTTATTATTTAACTGGTCTTTACGGAGAGCTCTGGTGATCGCACTGTAACTACTATTTTTGGAAATTTGTTTCAGAGGACAACATCGTTGAAGGACGAAGTTGTCAAAGGACTAAGTCATCCCAAAAAGGAAACTAACAAAAAAATAATATAGTATAATAAATAACATTAACATCTACAGCAACAAACTTACACTTTTACCTTCACTTTTATTATTTCATTACTTTATTATTACAATAAATTCTTGTTGTACCTCTTATATAACTCTTTATTGATCCATAAAAGCCCCTTGAAATCACGTTATACTTCATTGTAACCTTATTTTATCAAGCAAACCTTATTGCTATCTCTATTTGGTCTATACAAGATCTGATAGTCACTTATCGAATCAATTATCATCAGATACCTTATTTCAAAGCTACTTTACTATCAAGTACAAACTTATCAAGCAACATAACCCTAAGCCATAACAGAACCGCATTTACAGCACTTGCAAACGAATCTAAATCATAAAAGTCTACTATAATTTACAACACTAACTCATCTTAGCGATGGATTTAACAAATCTGCACACCTCTTAAGTAGCTAACCCTAAAGAAGCAAAAATTTACAGCTTGTTATGGCTCACTAATGGTTATTTAGAAGCAATACCAATATGACTTACTAATTATGATAATATTTGCATATTCCTCAGTTGTAAAGTAGTATAAATTGACAAAAGAGTAATTAAAAATAAAATATCAATTGTTATGTAATGGTTTAAATGATACAAGGCGAAGACAAAAGAAACACTCTTTGAGACTAGTCTTCATTCAGAAGTAAAGACAGAAGAAACAAGAAAATGAATCAATGATTTACTATTTATAGTTGCTCATCTAAATGTGGATTACATTATTGAGGATATGATTGACTAACAGTTCCTGAGTTCATAAAGAAAACTACCAATCCGTCCCTGACACTGATCTTATTGTTCATTTCATAATTTGGGTTATGATACTGCTTTTAGCATAAGAACGATTATCTTTTGAAGAAGTAATGATTTATATTCAAAGGAAGGGCTCCATTTAGTTTTACTTGTCACTGAAAGCATGTACACATAATCTTCTATTGTATAAATTTACTCTGTTCATACTGATTACGATTGTTTATCTCAATGTCAGTCATAAGCACACATTGTTCTACGATGAACCGTACTTCATTCAACGGCTAAAGGTATATCGGGGAACAGCCACTTCTGTTTTCCGCATCTTATATCCACGCAGCCTCCAATTGTAAGCAGCATCATTATTTAAGATTTCTTTCAAGCAAAGCCAAAAACGGTAGTCAAGTTACCGAAGCAAGCACAAATTGAAACCTGAAACCTATCCACTTTGACAAGGTATATTGCAACTAATTTCAGCTACAGTGCTTCTCTTGCTATTGACAAATTACAATAAAGGAAAATTTCTTTACTATGCATTACAGCGATGTGGAGACCTAGATCAAACATCAATACCTTGCAAACACGTGGCGCCCACTTCAGGCTTGATAATGATGCGAATCTCACTGGTATTACGCTGTTCATCAGAGCGCCAAAGAAAGAAAGATCAGCAGAAACAATTGGCCATGGGCATCTTATCCCAAAGGCCAACGTATCCTGTATATACAGTTTATCTCCATGGAAAAAACAAGACATTGACAATCAGAGCTTCTAGATGAACATACGATGTTCCTCGCATACCTCAACAATCTCAGCAAGATACGATCCATTCAGCTAAGCACGGTAGCAAATACTATCAAACAAACTATGTAAAAGGCTGAAATTGACACACAAATATACTGCCCTCGCTCATTTCGATCAGCATCAAGCACGATGGCCTCCAATTGGGATTATAAGATAGAGGACATAAAAAACATGTAAATTGGTCTTTCAGCAGACATTTTTGAGTGGTTTTGCTGCAAATCTCCCTCATAAAGAGGGACAGGTCAACGTGTAATGTGTTTAGTTTTTTCTTCTTCAGAGGACGGTCTACACTATGCGTATGAGAAAGTACACAAGAAGGCTAATGCTATGGGTGCTTTCTCGGGACGCTAACTTTACTGTCACTTTACAACCTCACTCTACTTTCCCGCACTACCAAATTTTCTATCTAACCTGAGGCTGTCCACTAGAATATCCTTTTATGTAAAAAACGAACTTATTATAATTATACTTGAATGATCTTGGCCCTTTGTTGATCAAACTGGAAACATAAATTAAATTACAGTAATAACAACATTTCTTTATCTCTTTCTTGAAATTTTATAAAGGTCGCGCTCTACATAAAAGAATATGAAAATATTTTAGCCCTTTAGCAAGTTTAGCGTGACGCTTTACATTGGCAGGTTTCATTGGCGATATTCAGGAAGCGTCTGTAACATTAGCCTTCTCGTGGATTTCCCTCGTGCGCGTAGTGTACACCGATCAAAATAAGGACGATATTTTTATAGAAAGATTGAAGGAACTGAGGTAAATATGTAATTGCATCCAATGCTGTATTGTGTACTGACATCATTTTAAGCAATGCAAGCAATATATTAAAAGACATCAAACATATAGAGATAACCAAATATGTTTGCAATATTCTGAATGAAGATTGGTTATTAAATTCAAGCTTGCGATATTGTGTATCAGCGCTTTTAGTTGGTGCAATCCTTGTTGAAAAAAAAAAATTTCTCTATCATTCTTAATACAGTTGAACCTTATGGTAGAGACTCCCTCATTGATCCCCATTTTGAGAGCCACTCTGTTGTATTTCTACGTTTATATTGAAAAAGATTACATCCTTTGACACAACATATATAATGAGCTAAGACAGTTGTTGCCAGCTAATGAAGAGATGCAGTTTCCACCAAATATAAATATGCAAACATAAACAAGATAAGGCATAAAATAAATTCTTATTTATGTCAAGTTTTAAAGTTTAGAAAGGGAAACAAAATAAGTAAAAAGATAGTATTTCTAGACGTCATAAGAAACATCAAAGTTTTTGAAACAAATGCCTGCATGATTATCACAGTCTGCATAGTTGTAGCGTACGAATTTGCAATTTTTATATCCTCTTTTCCAACAAATCCAGTCTGAGAATTTTTCTGCTGATATTCTGCCACTAAATCTACAAGTGTTCGAACGATGTCAGACTTTTTATCTGTTAAGAGTTTAATGATACAAAAACGAGTGCATACATCAGCAATAACCATGAAGTAATTATTATAAGTAGAAGACGTAGAGATAGGACTACTAAACCAATAGCATAATTGTTGTAATCAACAATAGAATTAGCGCATCAAGGAATAAATCCACTAGCTATATCCCCGACGATGACCCCTTAGACAACATAGTGTTATAAAGAATGTAGAAAACAGAACAGTCAGAATCATAATCAACCATAAGTAAATTCATCAAGCGTGTAGACACAAGTTATGCAGTAGACTTTCAAATCACTGACTATAAATATCCTTATTCTAAATACCCTTTGAACGGGAGCTTTATATTATCGGATAAAAGAGTCCTAAAAGCATTGACCTGTCTTTTTGATAATATAAAACAATAATGATCACCAGGATAATAACTATAAATGCTTCTTAGAAGATGATATCCTTTCTTTTCAATATTATGCCTCATACAACCAGAGATGAGGTTAGGTCAGTGAATACCTTGATTATAGAGGCGTTTGGCCATTTGTTTTGCACCATAATGGCCAGTTTGGTTATGAGCTTCATTCAACAACTGTTGCTTCTTATTTTCAGGAAGACTAAGGTAATCCTTATAGATAGATTAGCCTGATTGTATGTAAAAGATCTTTTGGTTGTCATGATTATTTAAATTAGACGTTAAAGAAACATCATTAGGCGAGGAAGAGGAGTTGTTATCCACTGAAATAGATTTGACACTATCACTGTTACCCTTGGAAGAATAACATGAAGCCTTGAGCTTCTTTTTATCATTGATAGTGTCAGATGTTGTATAATTTGTAAGAGAAGAGTAAAATCTCTTGGTTTTCTTCACATCTTCAATTTGACTCTTGATACATGCTTTTGAAATGCTCTTCGGCATAACGAAGTTGGATATCAGCCTTTGCACATGATCCTTATTTTTACAAATTGAAAAAAAAAGTGTCACAAACAGCAAAGTATCATTTATAAAGGTAAAAAACAGGTAACATATCAAAACAATACCGAAAGGCTTGCTTTGCCACTGAAAGCGGCTATATTCAGGAAAAATCAGCTGTACCATACTTATTTTTCAGAATACAATCTAATCGGATAGTTAGATTAGGGAAAAATGGCCCGATCAAAATTAATACATGTTAACTAATTAATCCTTTGATCACGATTTTATAGTCATTTTACTCATAACTGGCTATTCAAAATCCTTTTTATTAAAGAGCGTAACCTCTGTTGCTTTTATCAAACTATATTGAAATATGAATTTCTGTTACATTAATATAAAAAATGCGTGTTTAATACATGCAATTTTTTCCTATTAGCCATTTTATTCATTTGATGCCAATCACAGCTTAAAAGCATATTTTCAGAAAATAGAATAGTCCTCATTTTATATTGAGATAAAAAAGATTATTCAAATATCAAAGGTCGTTTTTTGTTTTTTGCTTCTTACAGCTAAGCATCAAGCTCTCGTATATTTTAGGGAGTTACTACATTAAAGTAAACGAAAAATACTTCATAATATGTGCTCCAAACATATTGGCGCCACATCTTTTGTTGGAAATTTAAAAGATGTGATGCCGTCGAACAAAAATACAGAGTTGCAATTTCACGGCCATTTTCAGCTTTTAATTATTTTTGCAATAGGAGAAAAAAGCTCTAATCCTAGTCTATATTGTTTCTTCAATAGTATTAATTACTCTACAACTTTTATGTATGAATTAGACATTCTATATATCAATCAATTAAAACAATTGCGCTAATAGGAAGAGCTTGAATAGTAAAGTAGATTCATGCAAAGATTAAAATCAAGTTCAGGGGCAATGGTACTGATAATAAACTGGTGGTTTCCTAGTTGTCTTCCTTTCAAATAAACGTAAACTATTTTAAATTAAAAAATTCAGCCACCTTTGGTTATTATTGTCTTTAGCAATCATCTTAACAATTTTCTTTGGTTGTTTCGTAAGTTTCACATCTTACTTTTATTATAAAATAAAAGCCACGTTGCCATATTTAACAAAATTTAAGTCTATGAATAGCTCAGACACTGGCCACTAAGCTTTTAATCAATAGAGATTCCTAGTCATCTTAGCTACCTAAAGCACGTAATGCATCGCAGTAATGGTCAATATCATAACAGAATAAATCAAAATATACAGCAGTTTACAATACGCCAAATGTATAAACAGAATTCTCCGTTTCATTGTATTTGATGATCTAATATCCAAAAATAAACGAATTCTCATAAATGCTAGTTTGTACTTATCTCTTGCTTTTTGACTGTTATATCCTCAAGTTTCTTTTTTTTTTTAGGTTCAATTAGGTTTACATGGCCATGGTCTTTAATTAATGACGAAAGCTGCTGAATGAGAGCAGATGAACGATTTTACATAATTACATAAAGGGCAAAATACTCGATCCGGTGACGGAATGTCTAACGGAAGCGGTCTAAAGATGTTTCTTGTCCACGTTGACTCTGTCATGCAAGGCCTTTTTTATAAAAAAAAAAAAAAGCTGATTAAAGGTTACCTTTTTCAAGCAGGAAGAAAAAAGCAATAGCGATAAAAATCGAAAACCCATAAACTTTGCAAGTTCTTTGAGTTACAGCTTAAAAAACTCCTTTTGTCCCACGTGCTCCTTGAAAATTTGTCTTAAAATTTCGGACGATATTATAGATCACTTTAGGATGCGCCAGCTGATCACATGTCGACGCACACTTATTTTACAAAGAAACGATGTCAGAGGAGAGGCTTAGTCTTTATTATTTTATTTATCTCAAAGGTACACTTGTAACAACTCAACAAGCTTTACTTGGGGAGAAATGCAGGGGCTTAAGGAGGAACTTAGAATTTGCACTGAATATGCATTTCGTAAATAATGTTGGTTCAGTTATTGATCTGTTCTAGGCTTATTCTATTACGCACTATTCCTTTTTTTTTTTTTTTTTTTTTT